CCGATATCGTTTCTTGGATATAAAATTATATATTTCTAATAGTTTCAAAATTATAGATTTTTAATTTTTAGAAATTTGGTATAAGCAAATAAAATTTATAAATTTTTTTACTAATTCTTCTACCTCTCAAAATAATATAATTTTGAATTGTTGAAGATAATTTTATCATACGTGGCAAGGTAAATATTTTCCCAACATTAAATAATATAAAATGATAACATTAAGAGTTTTTATCTTTTATTACCTCCTTAAAAACCACGCGGTTAGCGCGTAACAGTCTGCGAATTGGTCAGAGTCTTCAGACATTCTATTAATTACCTGATAGCAGCTGGTGTCACTGAGTTTGTGACATTGTTGTAGTAACGTTGCGTCAAATTAGAGATTGCTAAAATCTCTGCGCTTTGACTCTGCTATTTCATGGGACGGACATTCTTTTACAACGTTATAATATAACTCTATTTTTGGCTATAGTATTTATTGGGAATGATGCATATTGAATTCTTCTATTTTCAAGTACAACTGAACGATTGTATTTTTCAATCAACAGATTCCAGTTAATCATTTCACATAACAACTCCTAATGTTTTAGATCCTCAATTTATTTTCTTATCAATAAGCATGTCACGATGGAGCCCAATCTTAGATTGACAGAATCTAGCCACACATCATTAGACATTTCAAAAGTGGCGGAGTTTGAAAAAAAATTTAGTTACTGTCAACAAATTTGACATATCAAAATATTTATTGTAATTATGCAAATTTATCAGAAAAAAAGTAATTCTAGCATATTTATCTAAATTATTTACTAAATAATATTACATAACATTAAAAATTTTATTATTATATACAAAAACAAATATATAAAATGTACTAATCTTTCGGATAAACATTTCAAATATAATAATTTATAAGAGTAATAGGTCTTTGTTGTAATCAGTCATACATCAAATGGATTCGAATTTCTTTGATGAAAGTGGAGACGAAATGAAATTGCTATGCTCTTCATTAATCATCTAAACCATACGGCTAGTAATCATTTGTCAAAAACTTGCGCTCCAGAACTAACAAATTTTTTCTATGCACCAGGGAGGTTGATTGAGTTTGCTGCTAGACGGCGGCTGGTGTTGGTTTTGAGAAAAAGAACAATACTTAGGGTAATATGGAGGGAGGATATTTTGGGATGCTGATTGGAAAAAAGAAAAAAGAAGTGTGCGGAGGGGGGGGGAAGAGAATTGTGTAAAGAAGATGTGGATATAAAAATAAAAAATAAAAATATGTTTAAAAAAGTAAAATGAAAAATGAGTGGTTAAAAAATGAGGGAAAAGATAAAAATTAAAAATTGAAGATAAAAATATTATAATTTTATTATATTTATTTAGATAGTGCCAAATTATAATTTTAGCCAAATTATAATTTTAGGCATAGCCAAATTATAATTAATCATATAATTATATATATATTTATATATAATAAATGCAAAATTTTGAAACAAAGGTAGTGTCAAGGCAAGGCACTACCAAGTGATAAGGTGGCTACTAGGGGTGAAAGTGGGCTGGGCTAGGCCAAACTTTGTCCCGAAAAACCTACGTCAAAAAATTTCAATTTGGCCTGGCCCAAGCCTAGTATAAGTCTAACTGTTAGCCTGACTTAGCCCGTTTATAAAAAAATAAATGGCTTGGCTTAGCCCGTTAGCTTGTTAATTTTTAACTTCCATGCAGAACCATGAATCAACTTTACAAAGTACTCAAATTCTGTTGCTACACCAAAAATCATAATTTCAACGTCCAAACAGAATCATGAATCATAACAAAACTCATACAATATGCATTTAATTCATTTTCAAAAACAAAATGCTCAAACTAAATAATATATATTTCATCAGATCTAACAAACAAATCCATATTATGTAAATTAAAATAACCACATGAATTCAACAAACACATCATGATGCTTGTAGTAAGTATAACATTTCTCAAAAATCTTTTAATATATTCATATACACAATCAAACATGTTGAGATGTTGATTCCTCCTATATAAGAAATAAAGTAAGATTTCTATTAAAATATAATCGAAAATAATTAAGTTATAAATAATTGCAATTGATTAAATTTATATCTTTTGTTTTTTCTTCAAGGCATATATACTTATTCTATTTTATTTTATTTAAAATAAATAGTACAATATAGGCCGGCCTGTAGGTTTATAAGCCCGACCTTTTGAAAGTGGGCCTACGACCTTTTTATTAAACAGGCTTTTCTATGGCCCAAGTTCGCCCTATTATACAAATTATACTATGTCAAGTATGACCTGATATAAGCCGAGCCGTGGGCCCCTGTAGGCCGGCCCAGTTTCACCCCTAGTGGCTACGCCACTGCATTTCTAATCCATTAAATTCAATATATATATATATATATATATATATATATATATATATATATATATATATATAGGTAGATAGGATCCTTTGATACCAGTGTCAAATTTAAAATTTGACATCTCATCTGAGAGCCATTAGATCAAAAAAGATCAACGACTCTGATTTGTAAGCATGTGATACCATTAATTTTTTTGATCTAACGGCTCTTAGATGAGGTGTCAAGTTTTAAATTTGACACCAGTGTCAATGGATCCTACCTCATATATATATATATATATATATATATATATATATATATATTATAAAATTTTATATTTATAAAATTTTTGTTTACAAACTACGCTAAGTATGATTGGTCATACTTCAATTAAGAGTGTATGACCGGTTGTAATTTGTAAAAAAAAAATTGTAAATGGATCTTTCCCCTATATATATGTGTGTGTATATATACAAGAGGTTGAATTATTTGATTTCAGTATAACATTAAGAAATATTATTTCTCATTAGTCGTTGAATTTTATTTATATGATAATTGTAATTTATTTAAAATTAATAATTAATTAATAAATTTAACTCAATAAACTATCACATCATATGAATAAAAATTGACAACAGTTTAGATAAGAATAAAACTTCTTAATAAATATTATCCTCATAAAAAAAACATTTATATGAATTCGGTTAATATTCGAACATTAATTGAATATTCGTAAAACAAGTTAAAAGAAAAATGACAAATTTGTTAGTATTGAGAACGATTGTAAAAGATCATCCATGGCCATCATGAACATGATGATATGGATCTCGAAAGTTACAATGTTTATCGTTTGGGGTGGGGTGGCCATTTTGTCGTCTTTTGATGCTCTTTCTCCGCGTCTCTGCCACCAAAACCACAAAATTAGGCAAAGTCTTCACAGTATCATTTAGATCTCTTTTAACATTAAGTACATTGACACATTATTTCAAAATCATTCTCTCTCTCTCTTTATCAATGTGACTCAATTACTATATATCTATTATTAAAGGACATACTCCTCTCTCATGCAAAAATACGATAATTTTTTAATGACATATCAACTAAATATTCTCTATGGAGAGTTGGAAGTCACTAAACTCAAGGTGGATTTGTTAGGTTATAGTATTCAAAATTTTATATATAAAATTTGAAGGTGAGATTCAATCTCCATGGGGAATATATATTTAATCATTCATGAATTATATAACAACTGCAATTTCTTGAAGTACTAAACTTTGTTCAGTGAATCAAAGCAATCTCTAGCTAGGTTTGGCTGCGCAAGATGAAACATCACAATCATTTTCGATTTTTTTGTTTTATTTTTATTTTTTGTTATAAAAACAACATCTGGGTTTTGGAGAACAGGATCCCTGTCCTAGAATATTTACTCTGTTCATGGATAGAATAGTAAACTCCAAATTCGAATCATATTTGCAACAACATGACAAGGACAACCTTTTGAATTTTAAGGAGGAGGTCGTTAGAGTTTGTCCCAAACTGGGGTCTCTGAATAGTTATGTCACTGATTGGTCAAATAATTGCATGGGGTTAATTAACTCTAAAGTAATCGTTAAACCAAGGAACACCTAATTGAAACTGTTTCATGTTTGTTGATTGAAGTATATTTTTAGTTTACTATGATCAAATCCTAAACTTTCTATTTGAATCCTTCATTCTCACTCCAAATTTGCTAAAGAAATGATACAATTTATTATATTTTTGCCAACAGTTACATTAGTCAACAAATTAAGTGGCATACCATGAGTTGCTTTAAGGAGCTATATTTACTTTCATTGATTCGCATTCTAAAGTTTTTATTGTGCAGGTTGCCAAGATTTATATGTATAATAGCTTCTTATAATGAGAAAGTAAACATTGTCCATAGTTGGGGAATAAAGATAAAAAAAACTTCTATCCAAGACTTGCTATAATCTTGTATGCTGAGAAAAGTGGTTTTAAGAGTCAAAAGCCAAAAAAAAAAAAAGAGAGTTGGTTTTACAATAACTAAAAATTATGAATAAAATAACCACTAAGTTGCAAGATAAATCTTTTGAGAAAATTATATTAAACGGCACAATGCTATTAACATCAAGGAAAAGTTCCTGTAGTCGTTACAATAACTTTCTAAAAGGTAAAAAATAACAGAAATATAATTTTTAACGGAAGAAAATCGCACTTTTCCACTATATATATGAGGAATGTATATAATAAGAAAGACAACCTATTTTTATTAAGCTTTCTTTAACCACCACTCTTGCTTTACTACCTGTTCACAAGGAAATTCCAGATCTCTAAAGGACCACTACAAATGAGCTCAATTTGACTAATTAAGTAAACTAAAGTAGCAAATGATTCATGATTTTGATTAAGATGATCACCAACCAAATTAGAAAAATTTCCCAGGAATCAATCATTTAGAATCTATGATTTTTGGAGTTTATGATTATCAGTGCAGCACATTAATTATCCTCCAAATCATTTTGTGGAAATGAAACCTTTCCACCAAGTTTAGTTATTCAGCAATCTTCACCATTAGAAAAATAGAAATTTCCATAGATGTGTGGTTAAGTGGTAACCAAAGAGCAAACATAATTAATTAGCTACTACAATCTTCATTCCTTGGAACTCATAATATCACTATAGTAAACCTTCTCATACAAACAAACCTAAACCTATTAATTGGAATGTAAAGAAAAAACAAGAAGAAACAAAAACATATAAAGATTAAAAGTTGAAGAAAAGAAAAAAGAAGAACTAACATCCCTAGGGTTTTCATGTGATCTTAAAAGAAAGCAAAGTTTTCTCAACCCATCCTCCAAGTTCTTCACATTGGGCTAATTATATAGAGTTAGCGAGTTGAGTGAAACTTTGAAATCTTGGAGGGTTAAGGAAACTGAAGAACCAAAAACCAGAAGCTTTAACAAGAGAGCATGAAAATTCTATAGTTGATTGTTAGCAGCAGAAGAAGAGGTAAAACCAGAAAGATCTGTCCAAGCTGCAGTGGCACCACCACCAGTACTCCAATATTGTTCACTTGTAGGGTTATTCATTCCCAAAAACTGTCTAGACAAACCAAGTTCTTGATTTTCTTCCATTTTCACTGAAGTTGATACCTTGGGTGCACCACTATACCCAGCTTGTGCCTGATTATTTCCACTACTACCACCTTCAAATGGGTATAATCCATGAGAAGAAGCTTCCAAACTAGACAAGAAGGGAAATTGGTGTGTTTGTGGAACCCTCCATTGCTCCAAATTAGAACTAGATAAGATAGAACCACCAACACCAACACCACTTGCTCCACCAAAAGGGTTTCCTATGTGAAAATTCAAGTCTCCTACACCTACTCCTCCCATTGGACTTGAAATTGAGCTAAAGTTCAAGCCATAGTTTAAGGCTATATCACCACCAGCAAGGTGGTGATCACTAAATTGATGCATTGGAGCCATGAACCTTAGAGGTGGCGGCGGCACTGGAGACCCGAGGCCTGCCATGTCAGCACCGGAGGCAGTACTATTAGTGGAAGCCGCACTTGCCGTTTGGCGATCGGAGCTCGCCGGCGATGATTTTGAGCTGCTGGTGCTTCCCCCTTTGCTCCTCTTGTTCCTCCGGCAGCCACCGCCAACCGGGACATTCCTCAGGGCGCCGCCTCTTGTCCAGTACCTTCTACAGGTCTTGCAGAAGTGGCGGGGCTGAGAGAGGCTGTAATTGTTGAAGTAGCAAAACTTTGTGTTTGTGGATTCACATCTCGGACATTTTTGTGGAGCTTCTTGCATAGGTATGTGCTCCATCCTTGCCCTATCCGCCATCGATCCCGGCCGTATAGACCGGGATCCACCGCCGCTTCCATGAGGTTGTGTTGGCGGTGGTGGAGGTGGTGGTGGTGGAAGAAGAAGATGATGAGAGCTAGCACCACCAGTGTTGCCTTGTTGATTATTTGGTTGCTGCAATAACATAAAGTTAGAGGAGTTGGAGAAGGAGATAAAATAAAAAACATGGAGAAGCAAAGAAATAAAAAATATCTGGTATATTCAAGAGAAGGGTATAAACAAAAGGTAGCAAGAATATTTATCTTTTGAAATTTTGTCTTTTGGAGAAAGAAATTTTATGTGAAGAACCAAATTGAAGAAACCCTTATTATTTACCTGTTGGTGCCAGTTGGCTGGATCAATATATGCTGGGATGGAAGTATAAACCATGGTTTCTCTTGGAGCTTTCTCTTTTGTAAAGGTTGATGGGGTTTTTTGGGAGATAATAGTAGGGAGAATCGCATCAACAAGTTAAAGAGAGAGAGTGTTTTGTGTGTGTGTGTGTGTGGCTGAGTTCAACAAAGATGAGAGAAAGAAAAAGAGAGAAAGCAAGAAAGAAAGAAGAGAGGGAAGGGTTAGGAGGTTGTAATGAGAAGCAAAATTAAAGGAGATGCTTTTGAGTATTTATATATAATTTTAGTTTCTTTGTTCATTCCTTCCCTCCCTCTCCTCGATAGCATTCTTTTTGTTTTATTGCTTTTTCAGGGTTTTGAGAAGGCGATGTTTCTTAACCCATAAGCTTCTTTTTGATGCTCTTTAAGTACTGTGCTTAGAAAAAAGAGATTGTTAGTGCCTCTCCCCTCCTTCTGCATGAAAAAAGCTAAGTATTGTTGTCCAATATGTCATGTTTTAATAGGGAGAGAAAGGGAAAAGATATAGAGTGTATGCTGACCAGCCTATACATGCTAGCAATTTGGTGTAGAATAGCCAACACAAACTTTAATTATGATTCTATTATAAAATATAACATTAGTTGGTGAATGAATGATAAATTAAGGTAAAGATTGTGGTCATGTATTAATTAATTTTTATATTGGATTGGTAAAAAAAGGTGTCTACTTGTGCTTTAGTGTCCCGACCAAGTGAACCTTTTCTTGGTCAGGTTTGTTCCCTTCCACACTCTTCTTTGTTTTTTGCATGGAAATATTTATCCTTGCAACTCACGCGCCACTACATGAGCACTCTGGTCAAACTCATATGTGGCAGCTTTTGGTTATTTAGTTAGATATAAGGGAAGGGACCCTCCAAGTAACTCTTTACCAAGTGTTTCGAATGGATAATAAATGGTAAATTAATCATTGCCTGAATGTTGTTTATCCAAAAAAGGAGATTCAACAAACAAAACAAAGCACGTATAGTTTGTTAGAATATTTGGCAAATGAATTGTGTAATTTATGGAATATACTGAAAATGTATGAGATCATGTTGCAAAAATGAATCACTTTTTCTTAGGCATTAAGGTGTCTACAGAGTGTTTGAAGCCACCTTTCTTACATTTATTTCGTGACATAAAATTCAGATCTCGCCGCATCATATGTGGCAATAAGAAATTAAGAAAATAGGACAGATTTTTAAACCATGAAAAAATTCTCGTTCCCTCAATTGCTTAATAAATGAGATCTCGAAACACAAAAGTCTGAAAAAAAATTATTTTTTCACTAGTCGTGTACATGGATCAAATCGAATTTCTTAGTTTTTCCAAATCAATTTTTTTTTAACCGTTTCAGAACCGGTCAATCGATTTTGATAATACTAAATGATTCCGAACCGATTTATATGAAAGAGATATAATATAAAAATTATTGAACGCTTATCACTTACAAGCTTAATGTTTTTGGTTGAATTTATTATTTACATTGTATTAAAACCTGACCACGAGATCACGAGTTTGATTCTCACACCCCTACTTTCATGCAGAATTAGGTCATGCAGAATTAGGTCAGCATAAAGTAGAACAAAAAAATGGGCATGTGTAATATCTACCTTGAGATATGTGTTAGAGAAATATAATATAAAATCATTGAAAGTCCATCCCTTACAAGTTTAAGCTGTTAGATAAAATAATTGCTTAACATAGTCTGTGACCATGGCTCATGTGAGTTCAATCCTCTTTCTATTGGAATTAAGACAGCATAAGATAGAACCAAAAACTAAGTATGTGAAATATCTATGCTTCAAATTCAAATGGCTGTTACGTGAGTGTGTCTGTTAGAGAGATAATAATATAATTATTTTATATTTATGTATTTTTATTATTTAAATGAAAATAATTTTGTTTTATTTTACATATACTGAAATTCTAATTATAGCACGTACTTTTAATAGGATATGTAACAAATATTTTTCTTTTTGAGCAAGAAATTCATTTTTAGGTAGGTAAAGTTGATTATGTTTAATGATAAAATGCAACCAAAATTATTGTATTATCATACCGATTCTTTTGGTTCTCAAACCGGTTCAGTTAAAGTGATTTGGTTTATAAATCAATTAAAATAAAGTGGTTCAGTTCATAAATCAGTTTGAAAAATTATGGATATTCTGATGTTGTTGAGTTCAGTTCTTAAAAATAGATTGGTTTTTTTATATTTTTTTGTACACCCCTAGTACCTCAAATAATTTTTTGTTTTCATGAATGAAAATTCACCTAGCCGATTATTAACAAGAAACTAGGGTTTGAAGGATTTTAAAATTATATTATATTATAAAGTTGTTTCACTTAAGTTTTAAAAAAGTACTGAAGTTGAACTGAAATAGTATATCACCAACCAATAATCAATGGCTCACATGCTAATAAATTTATTCTCCTTGATTAGAAATTTGGAGTTTGAGTTCCAAGATCAAACGAAGAAAATAATTTTGAGAAAAGCAAAGAAATGGGTTCAACAATGCTCAAACCTGATTAAATTGGTTTGGATAAAAACAAATATTATATCACCCTTAAGGGATATATTATAACCCTTAAATTAATCATGAGAATCTCTAAGCCTCTAACCGTTTCCGATCAAATATAGGAGTACGACTAATTCTCACACCCATCTCTCGTCTCCTCATCAATTGTTTAGGAGCTGAGTTATATATGTTGCATAAAACTCTTATTCTATATTATAATTCCTCAAACCAGCCCTACACCCTGGCCCAAAGCCCAGTCTAAAGTTTGACCCATTATTAATGATCGTGTCATGCTTGAACCACATTTATGAATGTGAATGTTGACCAACACAAAATTTGAAGAGATGTTTTTTCATCGAATTCAAACAAAATATCATCATCATCATCATTATTGTTATTATTATTGGAAAACAAAGAAAGTTTTTCTTGTTGCAAAGTATTCTTTATAAGTGTATGAATTTATATGTGATGAAGTTTTAAACAATCATGTTTAAGGGGAAAAATAATTTACTCAAGATGTCAAATGTGTAGAAAATGTTCTGATTCCACAATAATATTATGTTATTGCGTGTGAATAAGTAAAAGAGGTGCAAATAATAGCTTCCTATTTTGTGTTACAATAGAAAATCACTGAGCAATACTATATGAATCCACACTACAAACCAAATAACAAACAAGGTGGTTTCTCCCCGAAAACAAGACGGTATCGATATCATTTTAAGCCGTTTTCATTTTTTAATAACAAATGAATTCTTTTTGTCATCTCATTTTTTTTTTAAGTTCCATGTAAAATATGTATTTGCTATTACTTGTTTCTAGGGGCATCCTACTTGTGATGGGGTCCTGCGAGACTCAAGTGGCAACTGAAGAGGTGAATTTTCTTACAGAATTAGTATTTGTTTAGCATGGAATACAGAACTGTGGGGTGTTGTGAAAAGGCTACCTGGTAGCTTGGAGTAAGGGTGTTAGGAAACTAATTATCGAAAGCAACTCAAACTCTGTTGTCGCATTGCTTACTAGGCATAGTGAGAAAGCTCGTGAGTCATCTTTGGTGACTCAAATTTTTGAGCATTGATCAATTGTAATTGACTGGTTCACTTTATTCATATACTGAGAGAGGCCAATTGCTACACCGATTACCTGACGAACCTCCTGTTAGATGTAAGAACCTGCACCGTTAATTAAGGTATTTAATTAATTAATTATGCAAAAATAAGAAATGATTCCATAATTGACCCTAATAATTATTTATGAGGCTTAATAATCATAATAAGTGATTAAGAATGCTGAAAGTCGCTTTTCGGAAGAAAAGTGCAGATACCGGTTCTGCTAGTCGGTATAAATGCGTGCCGAAAAATTATCCCGGAAAATTAAAGTAAGTGCATGATAATTACTAGAATAACATGTAGGACTTGCAAAACGAGTTTCAAGTCCAAATAATGAGAACTGGTGCTAGAAACCGGTACTGGCTTTGAAAAGCGCGTACCGGAAAGGTGCTCAAAAAAATATAAGAAAAATATGATAATTGTTAGAAAATTATGTAGTTTCATAATCCAAAGTTTGGGATTAAAATGCTAAGCGTATAAATTAAAGTTAATATTGTGCGCTTAAGTGAGTTTTGGCTATATATATGCATTTTAGCACATAAACCTAGGCACTCAGATTTGTCTACGTGACTTGGTGGCTGAATTGCACCTTATACACTGTTCCATTGCCTTCCCTTCCATTTCTTGAGCAAGCTTCCACCTTTGAGGCTTGTTCTTCTATTAAAACACTTGGTGAGGGTGAGGGTTGGCCTTGGGACTACATTGGGGTGGTGTTTCTGAGTTAGAGAACCTGTGTGAGGGAGTTTGAAGAGCTGTGTTTGCTGTTCTTGAGGGGTGTGACCTTTTGTTGGTATTTTGATGCTTCAAGGTGTCTTCTTGTTGAGTAAAAGAGTCATCTTGTGTTCATTTTCGTGCATCCTCTTGTGGCAGTAGCTTGAGTCTGGTTGTGAGCTCCAAGAGCATCTCCCTTTGCTGTTTTTGAGCTTTGGTATGTATATCAACCTTTAACTTGAGTTTTAAGGCTTAAAAATGAAAGCTTGATGCATGTTAAGGTTAAAAGATGATAACTTGTTGTTGAGTGATGCTTAACACATTTAGAAATGCATGATTAGGTGTTTAAAATCGGTAAAAAAAGGAACCTTTGAGGGATATCTTCACGAAAATGCAGAAACTGCATTCTGTCGTGAGATATCCGGATATCTGTCGAACTGATATCCGGATATTGGATATCCGGATACGTGGTTTTGGGATATCCGGATATTGGATATCCGGATATGTGAATCTGTATATCCGGATATGCATATCTGGATATCCGGATATGGACAATGAGATATCCGGATATTCTGGGATTTCGCAGAACAGTAGCTGTGCTGTGCATACAGTAGGCTATTGGGGGTTTGTAGACCTAGATTGATGAAGTTGAACTTCTGTTTTTAATGGATTAAGCCAGAATCATGGGATTTAGGGCTTGTGGCTTTGTTAGAAGCTTTAAGACTTGAAAACGTAATGAAAAGGCGTTGTTTTTAATTTGTATGCATGTGGTACATGTTATTGATTTATGTTTGGTCCATATCAGATTGTGATCTGCTGTGATTGGACTTTGAGCTTGTGGCATTGGATAGCTAGCTTAGACG